TCTGTTATCTCATCATGGAGGAGTGGAACCAGTGGCAACTTGTGAAGCTCTGCTGAACTCCATGCCCAAGAGGGTTAAGGCAGTGCTGGAAAATAATAGTGGCCCCACAAAATATTGACACTTTGGGCCCAATTTGGACATTTTCACTTAGGGGTGTACTCACTTTTGTTGCCAGTGGTTTAGACAATAATTTTCATGGTTCTATGTCACAAAATTGGGATAAAGTAAAATAATTTTCCAATAGAATAATAATATGAAAGACTCTTGCTATAAGTCAAGCCAATGTAATAAAAAAGTGATGAGTGATCAAAGAGGGATCATAAAAATGTAGTTCTGTCCTGAAAAGGGCATTTCACAGATGTTTACATAGTCCATAAGACACAATAATAACTGAATTTATAAAAATGAACCAGTTCAAATGTTTACACACACTTGATTATTAATACTGAGTGTAGTTACAGAGCTGTTATCTTGTCAAAGGGAACTAGCACAAAGTATAAAAGACTAAAAGCATGCCAATAATTATTGCACACCTATATTTAACAAATATTTTTTTTTGGATTAACCAGTTCCATGTCTGGTTGTTCATACACCAGTGGCTTCTTTCTTTTTCAGGGACAGTCCATATTATAGTATTGGCTATGCCCAATGTGTGTGCAATGGCTCTGATCGATTTTCCCTCTTTTCCCAGCTTTAAAATGGCCTGCTTTTCTCCCATATACAGCACCCTGGTCTTCTTGTGGGTTTAACCTTTTTGACAACAAACAAAAGGTGGCATGTTCTGAGCTGTTTAACACATCTAGATGTATATACAAGGAAATGAACGCTGAAATTCTGATCTAGTCTCATATCTATCTTTTGACCTCGAACCTAAATGCTTTCAGTGTATAGCAAAGACAAAAGAAATGGCCTTGCTGTCACAAATACTTTTGGAGGGGACTGTATATCGCTCATGCAGCAACATCTTAAAAAAAACTGTTGGTCACTCCAAAGAGCTAATTAACATTTCAAAATGTATGGAGTTGTGAATGAGGACTTTATGAAGATTAACATTTGTTCAGTTGTTGATATAAATGGTTCAGCTCTGAAATACCTGCCCCTACAGACAAGCCACTACTGTATTTTGCTACATGTTTAAGACATTTACTAGCTTTTGCTTAATTAATGAGTGATCAGACAAATGGAGCATTTATAATCTGTCATGAATTTCTCTTACATTAAGTTAATGGTGCACTATTTTTAGGGAATACAAAAACTAATATCTCTCAAAAAATCTGGATATCATGGAAAAGTAAATTTATTGCTGTAATTTAAATCAAAAAGTGGAGCTTACATAAATTCTATATTCATTACACAAAGTTGTTTTTTTTTTTTAAATCTTGATTACGTTTTACAGCTCATGAAAATAAAAAATCCAGTATCTCAAAATATTAGAATAAAGAATTTATACTAAAGAAATACTTCTGAAAAGTATGTTAATTTATGCACTCAATACTTGGTCAGGGAATTAATCCTTTTGCACGAATTACTGCGTCAATGCAGCGTGACATGGAGGCAATCAGCCTGTGGCACTGCTAAGGTTGCTTTGATATGAATTCATGAAAGTTCCACGTTTTTAATTAAATTACGGGAAAAATTAACTTTTCCACAATATTCAAATTTTTTGAGATGCATATTTCAGTTTAATATAATTTCAAATCCAAGTATGTTCACAGGACAAATATGAATGGTTTATTGTGTAACAAAGCAGCTTTACAGAAAAATATGCAGAAAATCTCTCTTAGATGTATGACAAAGTGAGCTGTAACACATTTACAAAAAATGCTAATCCTTATTTGGATAAAAATCCAAACAATCAAAATCCTCATATCCAGGATGTTTTAAGTACAAAACATAGAAATATAGGACACACACACTCCTGAATGCATTTTCCTTGACTATGATTAAAAATAAATTTATGTACGTATTTTTCCTGGGTTAACAAAGCAGTCAGCTAAACAAGAAGCTGCTGTGCTTTATATATGAAGATAAGCTGCAGAATAGTTATTGACTTACCCGGTATATCTGTGGTGCCTGGCTGCTTTCTCCTATTGGGAAACACATTAATGGCTTTTATCAACACTGTACAGCCACTGATAAAGAGATTACAATTCAGTATGACCACCCATTCATCATCTAAGACAATTAAAGGAATAAGAGTTGACTAATGAGAGCCAATAAACTGATAACATGAACACTGTATTAGAAACCTAGTCTCCATTCAGACTGGTAGTAAATAGAAGATCAGCTTGGTGTAATAACACTGGAAACTTAAAAATAAATAAATAAATAAAACAAAAAAATAAAATAAAACAGTCAGACTGATGAAGGGTCTGGTCTGTCCTTTCATGCCGAGCAATATGGGATATATAATATAGTTGTGCTTCTTTTACATTATTAGCAGCTTGAGACAATTTTGTTTACATTTAAAGGATTTTGAAAGAACGCTGAACATAATTTATTACAGGTTGAAATACTTCAGCCAAAAAGGATAATATTACTTATGATAAATACAAGCCAGGTGGATTGACTACTCTAAATTACCACTTTGTGTGAATGTGTGAGTGGCCCCGCCAGGGTGTATTCCTGCCTCATATGCAGCATTCCCGGGGCTGGCTGCAGATCCACAGAGACCATGACGAGGACAACAGAAGTTACTGAAGATCAATAAATGAACGAATACAAGCTAGCAGAAGTAAAACCCTCAGGCTTCCACACAATATGATATGATTTCAGTTCTCAAGGCAATGATTCATTATCCGATGGTATCACTCAATCTGCTATTATGCAATATGGATCGATTTAGTAGCCTTCGATCAATATGTGACCAAAAACAGTTCATAACCTAGATATAGATATTTTAAGAATCAGAGTTCTGGGTGAATCGCCCTACTAGCCGATATGCACATCAGTTTAAATATATGACCCCCCCTCCAATACCAGTTTTGTACAAGCTAGTAATGGCGAGTTAAAATTATACAAATGAGATTATACTAAAAGTATTCTTATTAGCCTTCACATAAAAATTGGCTAATGTATTTTTTCTTTTCAAGTTTTAATTCAAGGCTTCTCATAAATACAGATTCTCAAATGTGCAACACATGCTAAAAAAGTGGGATAAAAAAAGGATAGGGTATAATATAGTTTCTATGACATTCAGAAAATCAATGGTACACTTAATAAGAACAACAGAGAATGTATATGGGAGAAAATGAGTGTGTGTGTGATGAAAAGGACTTAGGAGTCATAAACCCAGGTCGATAAAACTTGTCACCTTTCATCTCAGACGCAAGTAGTGTGCCAAACCAAGGCCCTTTCTCTGCGGTGAAGAAACATTTTGACTGACAGTCCTGAGAGAAAAAAAGTGTCAGCTACGGGGCTAAAATTCATTGCTTCAAACACCAGCAACTACCTAGCTATGCATCTTTTTTGTCATTTCCATTACAGATCCTTGTCTGACAGAAAACAATCTGTAAATAATTTTCACTGAGAGAGATTATGAGCTGGCTTCCTATTCGTATCTTTCCTACAGAACAAATAAGGAAAAAGGCTACACGCTGATGATGTGTCCATGTGAGATTTCACTGCCCTTCAGGGTCTTTTTCTAAAATATCCACAAAAGGACAAATCAGTACAGTACAAGCTAACACAATTCAGCTCATACATGACAGCACTTCACTTCCTGGCCCCTTTTTCAGTGCAGCAAAAACAAGAGGTGTTTTTCTTTTTACATCTTTTTACATCTAATGCACACACACACACACACACAATAATGATGTCAAATGGGATGTAGAGGCACTCGTGTGTGAAGCCTGCACTGATCGAGGTACCATGCATTGTGGTGGGGGTTGTTTGATGGTTTTTAGTGGGAAATGATTGGTTGTGTCACTAAACCAAGCTGGCAAGAGTGAGAGAAAAAAGGAAAGACACGGTCGATAAAGTAAGAGAAAATAGCTTTGGTGCATCAGTAACAATTAATTTAGTATACCCAATTTTTGATAGGCAATATTACAAAAACACTATTTTCCTATGTAACTGGAAAAAGGGGACTTTATCTTTGACAAAACAAAACAAAAAAACATGCCATGTCACATGACTAGGAATGTACTGTTTGCACTTCCTTCTCGGCAATCACATAGCATAGTGAAGGTCTTCACCGAAATGCTCTCAAAATTTTATTCAATTGGAATATTTAGCCAAAACTGCTTAAAGGAAAAAACCCAAACACCATCTGAGCTTAGTTATTATTTATTTCGTCATTTAAACAAGTTTATATATTCTGAGCATTTTGTTAAATGGTAAAATGTAATTGTTGCCATATGGCAACGACATGCGATAATGGAACTGTTCATGAAATGACTGTTTGGGTCTGGCGAGAGTGGACGAGAAAAGGAAAGACACAGTTGATTAGAAAATAGCTTTGGTGCTCATCATAGACTCAGGGTTTGGAGATGTCAAGCTGGTAAACTGTGAGAAGCAATTTCTGCTGAAATGATTTCAGACACCAGGCATTATAATGAGGAACAAAGAGACCTTTGAGGGCAGATAAGATCTTTCTCTTACAAGACACAGAACGTCAAGCGTTGGCACGTTCTTTAGCAAGTAGGTGGAGTCACTGCAACATTTGACTTTGTCCCATTGATCTGCCATGATGGACATGGAGCTTAAAGGACGCTAATAAAACATGTTTAATTCAATATTCAATCAGCTCTCCTGAAGAGGAAGGGAGCTGCAATTAAACTAGTGTTTAGGCTTTTTCTTTAGGTCAAGCCACTGTGGAAAAAAGACAATGGTAAATGGTCTGCACTTACATGGCGCTTTTTTCCAAAGCACTTTACACAGTCTCATTCACCCATTCACACACACACCAATGGTAGCAGAGCTGCCATGCAAGGCACTAACTTGCCATCGGGAGCAACTTGGGGTTCAGTGTCTTGCCCAAGGACACTTCGGTATGTGGAGGCACGTGGGCCAGGAATCGAACCGCCAACCCTATGGTTAGTGGACAATCCACCCTACCACCTGAGCCACAGCTGCCCAGGCTGAAAGATAAAGCAGCTCTGTAAAAAGGACACAGCTCATTAATGTAGACATGCCGGCTGGGTCGTTTACAGTATTCTGGTATAGACTAGATTGAGCTGCAAACATGAGAGTGAGTACAGAAACTGAACGATGAACACACAGTTCCAGCAAAACAATAAGCACAGAAGAGGAATGAAAAGAGGAATGAGCAAGTGTTTGCATCGACTAAGTTGCGGGTCTAATGCTGAACTCTCTAGCATGTGGTATTAGCCATGGGTAAAATTCCACTCAAGATCCTACACACAGCCAGTACCCATCAATCCAGTATGCCCCTTTACCCCTTTACTGCATGGTGTTGCCATTTGGCAACAATGAATTTATGTACAATTTTCTGGTATGTAATAATACTAAACTACTACATGCCTATGTAACTGGAAAAGAGAGCTTTAAATTTGACATGGCATGGCACATGACCAGTAATGTGCTGTTTGCATGTCGTTTTCTGCAATCAGATGGCTTGGTGAAGTGGCATCACATCACATGGCATCATCAGAGGGGCTTCAAAATGTGAATAAAACTACTTAAAGGAAAAAAACGAAACACTATCTGACAAGTTAACTTTTTTTGTCATTTAAAACAAGTTTATATATTTTGAGTATTCTGTTAAATGGTCAAATGTAATTGTTGCCATATGACAACAACATGCGATAATGGAACTGTGGTATGTGCATTGATTAATTTAAACAGGCCTACATAGCAAAAATAGCATATTTACATTTTTTCCACATTCAAAGGAAGGAAAAACTGGTCATAATTTCAGACAATTGTACCTTATTTTCAATATTTTAAGAGAAAGAATTAAGATACTTCACCCAAAATGTTTTGATCTAAATTTTGCATGTAGTTTGAGTGAGGAAATCCATCCGCATACTTTCAATAATATTTCTTTAAGAAGATATAACTGACATGCTTACTAGGTGACAAAAACTGTGCAACTCATAGTCTGGAAATACATTGTGTTGTGTTATTTTTGACTATATCATACTTTCCACCATTGCACATTGCTGAAATATGGCAACAATTTACCAACAACCCCTCCTAAATTTTTTTATTTATTAAAAAAATTTGTTTTATTTGGACTAATTCAACTACCGTAATTCTCAGACTATTGAGCGCATCTGAATATAAGCCGCACCCACTAACTTTAAAAGGAAAAACAATTTTGTACATATATAGGCACTTGTCTATAAGCTGCAGGTGTCCACGTTGTAACTGTCACGATTCGTGACGTAAACGAAGCAGGACGGATGCAAGTGCAGTTAGGACGAGACCTTTTTATTGAAACAGAGGAGAGCAGACTCAAGAGAAACAAGAACCATGACCAACTCAATGAACTAAGCTAACTAAACCAACTAACCTAAACATTAACTATGACATGAAACAAAGACTCTATATCTATACTCTATAAACCACTTCTACATCTATATTCTAAACTAAGTCTATACAACTCTAAGCTATGCTACAAGCTACTAGGCTACAGGCTAAGCTATAAGCTATGCTATAAGCTAACTAGCCTTGACATGAACTCAGACATGGACTATGGCTATGGCTAGGAAACATGAACAAGAACTAAGACATATGGCATGAACAAAGACTCTAACTATACTCTATATCTAATTCTAACTCTATATCTAATTACCCGCATTGTGTGTTTCATGGCTCCCGGTATATATACACAGCAGCCAAACTGCTAACAGCTGCGGGCAATACCAAAACACACGTGACAAGACGGGGCGGAGACATGATGTCAACCAATATGCGTTTCTTCGTGTGTTTTCCCTGATGAGGGGGTGTGCATGAAGCGCAAAACGACTGATCTGAAGAATGTAGTGTGAGCGTGTTAGATTTAATTCAAACAATTTCATTGGTCCACTGTGACCTGTTGGGTAATTTCATTTGTCTGATGTGACGAGGCTAAATGTTTTGGCGGCATGAAACTCGTTAGCCCGTAAAAATCCATAAATTAGCCGCATCATTGTTTAAGCCGCAGTGTTCAAAGCGTGTGAAAAAAGTAGCGGCTTATAGTCCGGAAGTTACGTTAATTAAAAAAGTCATATTCATTTTTTTTTATGTTTTCATGTTTCTGGTGTCTCTGTTCATCATTCTTTTCAACCTGGGTTAAACCATTGATGAAAAAATACTTCCAGTGCATATATCCACTTCATATTTACACACAATCTTTAAAGATGTGTGTCTCATGAAAAGAGTATCAGGATGGATGCAAGTGCAGTTTAGGGTTTTATAAAAAGGAGATAGGAAAACAAATCTAATACACGAAACACTGGCATGGTCAAAACAGGCGAACGGCGAACTAGACTAGAACAGGAAGAGAACAATAAGGAAGAGAACAAGATCAAAAACCAGGAAAACACAGAACGAGGACCACACAGCTTGGTATACGGTAAACACGTAATACTGGCAGTGCGACATCCTGAGAGGAGCACGGAGGCTGAGTGTCATTCTCTTTGCAGGCTGAACTCGGCTGTGTCAGCAAACTCAAGTGTGAGCAGAACAGACTCAGGCTTGGTTGGCAGTGTCGTTGCCCTCAGACAGGAACATGTCTTCGGAGGTCATCTCATCGGCTTCAGTCAGGAACATAACTTGGGAGGCCGTCTCGTTGACCTCAGACTAGAACTTGGCATGGGAGGTCACCTCGTTGACCTCTAGCAGGAACATGGCTTGGGAGGCCATCTCGTTGACATAGAACTGTGGCTCTGGAGCTGAGGTCACCCCGTTAACCTCATGCTTGAACTCCGGAGAAGAGACCCCCTCATGGGTTTCATGCTGGAGCACTGGGGAGGAGATCGCCACATTGACCTCAGGCAGACGCTCTTCAGGTGAGACCGCCTTGTGGATCTCAGGCTGTATCTTTCGGGATGAGGTCGCCTCGTTGACCTCTGGCAGGAACTCCGCAGGTGAGACCACCTCTTGGGTCTCAGGCTGGAGCACTGGAGTCGAGGTCGCCACGTTGACCTCCAGCTGGACCGCTGCAGTGGAGACCTCCTCATGGGTCTCAGGCTAGAGCTCTGGAGATGAGACCACCTTATAGGTCTCGGGCTGTAGCTCTGGAGATGAGGGCACCATGTTGCCCTCCAGCTTGGTAAGTGAGACCACTTTGTGAGACAGGACATAAACCATAACAAATACACGTCCCTGAACCCGGAAGTGCTACACCTCAGGCAACAGAGAGCGCTGCATGCTCCAGCGCTCTGTGCAAAAGGAAATCCTGACAGTGTGTAAATGTTATTGCGTAAGCCACAAACAACCGAAAAATTTCCATTGGATTAACAAAAGTTTTGTAAAAGGTGTTCTTCATACTTGTGTGTGTGTGTGTGTGTGTGTGTTTACGAATGCCAAATCATCTGTAAATTACCAGGAGCATTCATGGCATGGCTGATTTGCGTGTAGTGATGCCCACAAAAGTCTACAAAAGGCAAAGTATACACCGAGAACAATAAGCAATGAACTGCACTGCAATCATCCTCTGCTTAAACAGAAGCACAGAGATGTGAATGTAAAAGCATTTAGACAAATCACAACTCTTTAGAATATATTACAGTCAAACAAACCAAAAATAGAGTTCTTTGGCAATAATTTAGTTCTTTTAAACATCATATACTTATTTATGTTTATGAATAAATATTGGTTTGGTCATATTTATAAGTGCAAAGTCAAAAGACAATTGAAACGGATATAGTTTATGCCAGGGGTGTCCAATCTTATCCGAAAAATGGCCTGTGTGGGTGCAGGTTTTCATTCCAACCAAGCAGGAGTCACATCTGATTCCACCTGTTTAAACAGTTGAGCTTTGCTTTCAATAGACTCAGGTGTGGCTTCTGCTTGGTTGGAACAAAAACCTGCACCCACACCTGCCCTTTCCGGATAAGATTGGACACTCCTGGTTTATGCACTGGAAGTATATTAAATAACAAAAACAAAAGTGTCCGGATACTTAATTCACCTCTCTCTCTCTCTTTTATTGTCATAACACTCTCTATAAACCCGACAGAACAACATAAACATCCCATAATCACATTTTCAGTCACTAATTATTGATTAAAATTAAGATTAAAAGGCAAATATTTGAGGTCAAGGACAAACATTACTTAAATTTTATTCATATCTCTTTACGTGGCTGAGAACAGCCTTCTGGCCCAGTGAGCGGAATTTATACATAGATTTGCTGCCCTCTTCTGTTTAACAATACATAAAGGTTTGGGCTACTGATTCCAAGTACACATATGCACCCACAGTATTATAACTCTCAAACTCACTCACCTGTAGCTCGATTTTGGGCTTGTAAATGCTCTGGGTGTGGCAGACTGTAAATACCAATATTTCCGTTAGAAAAGGCTGCAGCTATCAGTCCCAGTCGAGGCACATGTGGGGCCTGTAGGAAAATGGTGTGGAATCCAGGTTTATTTCTTTCTTCAATTTATGCTAACATGGTCAGACCAAAGTCTTTTTGTTCAGTATAAACAAATGCTCTACTATTTTATGTATTATTATGTATTCTATCGATTAACCCCAATAACCAGCTCTGAAAGTAGAATAGGATGTTCATAATAAAAATGACTAACAGAAGCCATTAGGTTGGTTAAAGGTTTTTAAATATACATGTGTCAGTAATATATCCATCCATCTTCATCATCATCCACTGCTTATCATTTTCAGGATCACAGGGAAACCTGGAGCGTATCCCAGGGAGCATCGGGCACAAGGTGGGGTACACCTTGGACAAGGTGCCAATCCATCGCACACACCCATTCGTACACTATAGACACATCAATCAGCCAACCGTACATGAAACCCCCATAGCACGGGGGCAACATGCAAACTCTGCACACACGGAGCCACTTGAACCCCAGAACCTAGAGGTGTGAGGTGAACGTGCTAACCACTAAGCCACTGTGCGCCGATCAGAAATATAAGAGAAGGAGAACTCACAGGTGTTT